TGTAAAATGTTAATATTTATTTTGTTAGTTAAATTATATATGGAATATTAATTTCGTTTTTAATATAATTTGGAAACAATGACATTTTCTAAAAATAATAAACTAAAATAATGATGTGTCATTTTACGATTGGAGGACTTAAATCCTACGTGGACGCTCTCAATGGCTTATAGCCTCAACTTTTATATAGTATAGATTAATTTGTTTAACCAGGTTGAAAATCTGATGAACCTTCACAAAAACAAATTTAGACAGACAAATTTTAATTATTAATGTATATGGACGACTGGTTCGGCTGTCCTAAAAATAGTAACAAATATGTTTTCCTCTTATTTGGTAGATTATAAGTTTAAAGTATTTGTCTTTATGGATTTTGTAATTACTACAAATATCCATCAAACTCGATCTTGTAATATGCCGCATTTCTTGGGTTAATAATCTCCATGAATATAACGGTTATTCTTCCTTCTAGTGAAGATTGCACTGAAATTAAACAAAAGATAAAATAAAGAAATCACACACATAAACAAAACAAAACAAAAAAAAACTAGTTTTTTTGGATAATAATAACAAAATCCTCGGACAGGATCTGTTTGTACTTAATCAAAGTGTCCTTAATTATCTCCAACTTATATTTGACTGTAAAACCCACCACACACTCACTCACTTACATCATCTCCCTCCTTTCTATATATACATTTCTCATATCAAACTTAACACCTCCATAGAGACCATATCAAACTTAACACCTTCTTTCTTCATGGCTGATAATGTCCAAGTAGTACCCGTTGATGAACCAGCCACCACCACCGCCACCGCCACAGCCACCTCAACATCAACCACTGAGCCAGAAGTCAGAAGCTCCGATCAAATGGAGTCACAAAACCACAAGCCACCCGTTGGAATGTTGGTTACAATCGTAAACATTTTCGCCATCGGTGTTCTTCCCATCTTCACCTTCTTTCTTTCTCTTACACTCCTTGGCTACGCTGTGTGGCTCCTCTACATGCGTAGCTACGACTGCGAAGACATCCTCGGCTTGCCACGTATCCAGACCATCGCTAGCGTCGGTCTCCTCGCCGTGTTCGTAGTCAGCAACGCGGCTTTGTTTCTTCGAAGGAAGTTTCCTATGCCGGCACTAGTGGTGATGGTGGTGATTCTTTTGCTGATGATGTTCATCGGTTTGGCTTATGCTGGAGTCAATGAGATGCAGAGCAGACGGTTCCCGGCGACTGCGAGGTGGTTTAAGCTCAAAGTTATGGATGATGTGAATTGGAACAATATCAAATCGTGTGTCTACGATAAGGGAGCATGCAACGAGCTTGTTTACCAATCTCCTAAAGAGAAGCCTTACAATAGAAGAAAAATGCCACCAATAAAGGTTTGTTCAATATTTTCAAATAGTTTGAGGGTACCATGCATGTTTCATCTTTATATGAGTAAATAGTTACATAAGTTGTTTTAAAATTTTTTTTTTGTTGCAGAATGGATGTTGCATGCCCCCGGAGACATGTAACATGGATGCGTTAAACGCGACGTTTTGGTATAGGAGAAAAGACGAGGGTCCACCGCTGGAGACAGAGGTCCTGTATGATGGGATGGTCGGAATACTAAGCGACTGTGAGCTGTGGAGGAACGATTGGAGTGTGATGTGTTATGATTGTAGATCATGCAAGTTCGGATTCATAAGATCTGTAAGAAGGAAATGGTGGCAGCTTGGTGTGTTCTTAGTTGTCATCTCTATTCTTCTTCTCATCTCTCACCTCTTGATCTTCTTAGCCACCTTTTGGGAAAGATTCAATGGTCAACAACCATCATGAGGGTGGAGAGTTTTATGTGGTAAAATAATTTATTTTGTATTCATTTTTAGAACTCTCAAGCAGATCTTTAGCTATTCGTCCTTTATCTTTGTCTCTTTGGTTGGTTTAGTGTAAAAATGTGTTTGTAATAAAGTACAAACAAGTGGTTTGATTCAAAAGCCAAAAGAAGGTTCTTGAGTTCATGCTTAATATTTGAAGCAGGAGACTTTAAGTTTTAGAACTTAAAAGTGTCACTGGTCTTATAAATGGGAAGGTCTAATATTTTGCATGTTCATGTAAACGTAACAAATTTGGTGAACCACGTTAAAAGTCGGTGTTGTTATGCATTTATTCATATGTTTCTGCACAGTCTTCTCCTATCCGTTATAACAAACCAAATCAAATGTAACAAAGGAGAGCCACATTGAAGACACTTTGTTCATTGATTGACCTAACTACCAACAGAGGGGCGATTAAGCTGGATAATTAAAGCTTCTTGGAAACTAGGTGCACATATAAATACTATTACGGAAATGGAAAAAGTAAAATACATCTTTGATAAAAAGGTGAAACAATAACAGAAGGTGACATTCTACTCTCTTTTTTTGTTTCCCTTCTTACACCTTTCATCTGTACAAAGAATGGCCAACCTTGGGAGAGTCAAAGACAACAAAACAAAAGGGTCTCTTCACACTCAACTAGTGAGTGGAAGACACAGAGCTAAGGCCGTGTCTCATGGCTGCTTCCCACACCAGATCTATACGGTCAACATCAATGGCTCCAACCTCATGATGCTTCCAACCTTCCAGCATATGAACCAATCCTCCTGCATGACACGCATGCACCACACATCTATCCATTGTGTACTGCCACACACACACAAAGACACGTAAGAGTTTAGTATAATGAACTAAAAGGATAAAGACACAAAACAAGACTTGATTATTAACCAAACCCTTCTTATTTACCTCGCAGCTTCCTAGTCCTTGAACATCTTTAGGGAGCCTCATAGCTGCTAGATCGCCATAAGTGCAGTTCCTTCTAAACTTTAGAATTGGTGGCACTACAAACTGGTGGAAATGAGTTCCTGCTGGAGCCCAACTCTGCTCCCTTGGTGTTAACCACTTCCCAACGATCCATGTCTGCACATAGACTCCACAAAGTCAATACATTTACATTTACACAACAGATGATAACCACTTAAAATCCAGTACACTACCTTGCAGTGTTGTGCAGCGTTGTATTTAGTCACTTGTACGAGGTAGTTTTGGAACTCAACAGGAGCTTCTTTCTGAATCTTTTGGAATCTTTCTACCGATAATGTCAACATCTGACAATTGTGCCAACATATGTTAAGACTTTGAGACAATATAGTTCGTTGAGGATTGGTTAGAAAACTTACGAGAACTCTCACTCCTCGACGACAGAGGTAAAGAGCGATGGCTCTTCCGAGCTTAGAAGTGGCTCCTGTCAAGAACACCTCTTCAACACCTTTTGGAATTTCATTGAGAATCACTGCTGCGGTTAAAGTGTTCCCATGAACCACACGAACTCTAAGGTCAGGATGCTTGTTGACAAACAATGTCCCACCACCATTCAAAGCTTCGTTCTAATAACAAAACAAACTTAAATAAGTAACCCTTTATGTGATGACTTGACACAGAAGTTTCAGGCTTTTAGAGACTTAAACCTTGTTCAGAGCAGCCAAGCTTATGACTTTAACACCAATCTTATCAGCTCTCAGAATCGCAGCCTCGATCTGATCATTAATGCCTTGTGTAGCAAACGGTAAAAAGTACTGCAAAACAGAGGAAAATGCTCTGTTAAAACACTCTGTTCTCTCTGTTTTTCAAGGGTTTAGGAGAAAACAGAGACATTACTTGGAAACCGAATCTTGGAACTCCCCAAGTCTGACAAAGATTGTTTCTGAGGGTATAGAAGCTGAAAAGAAAAGCCTTTGACCAAAGCCACATGCCTAACATCACCATGAACGTGAATGGCCACATGGGCAGCAAGAAGAGTCTCGTTGTGTATGGCATTGAAGCGAACGATCTGAACACAAACGGTGCATGCATTGCTGACATCACATCTACCCCATGAGCCAAGAACACAAACTCCGGCACTCTCTTCCGTTCCCCTGCACAAAAAGATCATTTCAGTTTCTTTTTTCCCAAGGAAACTTTGAAGTCAAGGAAGGGGTACTATTGTCTTTTCAAGACTTTGGCTCTTCATGCTTGACTCTGACCACCCACTCTACTAATGTCTCCTCATTAACTAGCTTAAACTGTTTGGTATTGCTGCCTAATTAATAACAGCTTTATTCAACTAGTTTAGTTCTCTATCTGTTTCAAGTTAAGTGCTGTTGTAAGTAAAATTTAGTTACAAAATAAATGTGTGTATATAGTCTCAATGCAATTTTCATATAAGTTTATCTCTTTTACCCCAGTTATTAATTAAAGAAATAATAAATGCTATATAATTTCAATAGTTAAATAAAGACAAAACTTGACATTTTCTTAATGTGAAAAAATTTCAAATGACATCTGATCTGAAAATTGACTAAAAGTTTTTGGTATGTTATTATTACCTGAAGCCAAACGAATCTTCTTTTGGAGTTCCCATGAGTTTGAGTTAAGTGTGTTGCCCAAAACATCAAAGAGAGGCATAAAGAGACAGAAGTTGGTCCCCATTTCTTGATGATGCAGACTATGGTACCTGCATAATCCCAACAATAAAATCAAACTTTAAAATTCAATCACAAGTAAAAATCATTATAGATACAACTAGAAACTAGAAAATCTTTGGCATATTTGCTTCTTAAAGTAAAAATATGACAGTCACGTTCGTGTGTTCCTTATTCAATGAAAAAAAAGTTAAGAGTGCCTTTATTGAAAAACCTATGGTGTGTGGAGCCAATAAATCTAACCAAATCCACAAATATTCAGCAACAATATGCAGCAAATGTTCAAGATAACGTCAGGAACATACGTTGGAGTGTAGATGAGATAACGTAGGATTGGTAGAGTCTCGAATAACTTGTGAGAGAAGATTTCAACGTTACAATGACCTAAACATCTTAAGAAATCAAACATGATAGCGTATACGTAGATCAAGCTTATTGATCCAACACCTAACAAGCAAGAACCAATCAAAGGAACTCCAGCTACTACACAGAGGATAAGGTTTTCCAATAAAGTCGCGTTCCCAGCTGCACACAACATGCCAAAGATTGTTATTACATCAAACAGAAAAACATTCTTTATTTTCTTATTAATTTTTTTACCAGTCATGGGGTGTGGAACAGGAGATGAGTGGTGGAAAGAATGGTAATGAGTGAAGAAGTAGTTGTTGCGATGAAATGATCTATGAAGATAATAGTATAAAGGCTCTGAGAAAGTCACATGTATCACAATTAATGCGATTAGTCCTTTCGTGTTCCAGAGAGGAATACTGTTCATCACCATCAATGGAGGAGACATGTAACAGATCATGCTCGCTATTATTGCTTGCAGAAGTATATAATTGTCCCTGTAATAAAAACCCACTTATCAAAACAATACCTTTGGTAGTTTTAAGAGTGTTTAAGACCATACCAAGAAGAAAGAAGCAAAAGTAAAAGTGGTTATGTACCAGTGCCATTCGTGATCAATCTGTTTAAAGTCGATACCATTAGGGTTAATCCTTAGAGTGCGAGTCACCCAAAGCATGTTGGTGTAAACGCTCCAAAGGACATGAACGAGTCCTTTGAGTCCACAGATGATGAGGATATGAAGACACCATAGAGCCCTTGAGTAGTCTTGTTCGTATGTCCATGAGTACGCCACTTGTGCTGCTAAAGGAGCGTATAGAAGATACTTCATAGATAGAGACACAAACACACACACAAAAAAAATATGAGTTTCAGAAGATGAAACCAAAAATTAAAAAAACTACAATCAAATTTTATTTTCTTTAAGAAACAAAAAAAAAAACGCAAACCTTAAGATTGTCATAGTTTTCCCAAGGCCAGACTGATATAGTAACCATTCTTCTTCTTCTTCTTGTACTCTCAGATCTCTTTCTGTTTTATTGGTCTATAACCTTAAAGATTTCTCCAGGTTTCAAGCAATCCTGAGAAAAAGATGTTGCTCTGTTTGTGGAAATCAGAGAGAGAGATAGAGATTTAACTCTAATCTCAAGAAAAGAGATGGAGATTGTTAGTTGAGGTTTTTAAGTTCGTTGAAAGATTTAACCAAAGCCTAGTTGTGTGACACTATTTAGAGCCTCCAGCTTTGTTTACTTATATAAGCATTGAAACTAGGAGGGCCAACTCCTGTAATGAAATTTAAATACAGTAATTTTCAAATCAATACTGTGAAGAAAATCGTTTTCACCTGAAAAATAAAACTCTTGCAGCAAACAAAATCTGACAACTGTATTCAGTGATAATTAACTTTAACTCTGCTCAATCGTACTACATTCACATGCCGATGCAAATTTGGTATCAACACTTTTACTTTGGTGAATAGTAGGTGTTTTTCTTTCGAGCTTTTAGTTTGGAGTTTATTTAGTTTTGCTCCAACCAAAAGAGCCTAAGAAATACTTCATTTTTTTTATTTTAATTAAAACTTCAACTCTTAGAAATATATATATATATATATACATATATATATATATATATAATCAAAAAGAAAAACAGCAGCACTATAATGGAGAAACTAAAATGCACATATTTTTTTATAAATCCATAAAAACAGAAGGCAAACATTTAAAATATATTCTTATAATAGTCACTATTAGCATGAAAAGGATGTTAACAGTTTTAGAATAATTTTATAAACTATAGTAATTTTGACAGTTTAATTAACTTTAATCAAAAATAGAGAAAATGAGAAAAACTGCGTGTTTTATATAAAATTATTAACTACAACTAATTTTATCTGAAATTATATAAATACCTAATAAATTTTGTATAGAGTATATAAAATGAATATATTTAATCAGAAATTATGTACTATAGTATCATAATATCCTTAGCCGAATCAGGTTCCAACATATTTAAAAATTCGCTATTTGAAACTGGATTTAAAACCTTACAAATATCTAATATTATATCAGAAATGTCTTCATTGTTTTCTGTTGTAAACCAAACAGATAACTATAGGTTTTTGTATTTCATTATGGACCTAATCATAAAAATTAAACATTAGTATAATATGGATTTTTTGTAATAAAATGATTTAACAGTTTTGTAAGTATTTTAATGATTTGTTTGAATATTTTCTCTTTAATAATTAACCACATAGACGACGTATAACCAATTGAGACAATGGCATAGCTTCACAGCTGGACTATCTCTCTCGCGCGCATTTAATGTTCGGTTTACGGTTGAAGCGGCGATGGTTACACTTCTCGCCCTCGGTGGCTTCTTCATATACTCAAATTTCAATTCAACTTGTCCTCTTCTTCTACTTTTCTAACATTTTCTTTATATTCTTAAATGATTATTCAGACAACTAATTAGTCCGCATTCATGTCACGTACACTAAAGCTTAGCAAGCAAAAGTTTTAGCGCCTAAAATACATCACATGTTTAAAAGGATCATTTGACAACTTTTTTTTAGTGAAGTGGTAAATAGTCTCATACTTACTATCAGTATCTTGGGTTCCAGGGGCAGCTTAGCCAAAAGAAAAAGATGCATATCAGTTTTGCTTTCTGCAACATTTACTCTAGGGTCGGCACTGTTGGGTACGATAGTGGTACTATACAAATGTAAATAGGGATTTAAATTTTTACTAGAGCTTGATCCGCGCGGCTACGTGAATATTAGTTTTTTTTTATATTTTATAAATTAATATTTATTTTTAATGATTAATGTTATATATTTTAATCTGTCACCATGTAAATAATTGTATTTGATTATTTTATTTTTGGATTCATATTAGTACCTAAATAGAGTCTAATTTAAAATCCAAAATTTCAATATTTGAAAACATGATTATTGTCCGAACGGATACCTTAATATTCATATCTAATTGAATTTGTAAACATATAAAAAAAACTTATTTTAATCATTTTGAATTCTTTTTCAGAATGAAAAAAATTCATTCAAATATTTCTAAATGTTATGTTTAAAAAATAGATTATATTATTATGTTATAGACAATTAATAAAATAGTTAGAAAAAGTAAAAAAAAAAGAAATTTAAAAGACAAAATAATTAAAAATAGGTAATTTGGAAAATATAATAAATAAAATGTTTATAATTATTTGAAAATGATAATAAATGAATTGATTAGAATTAGCTTAAATAAAAAAGAAAATATGTAAAAAATCAATTAAAAATAAACAAATATTATTTTATATTTCTGTTTTAATAGAATATATATAAATGCCATGGTAAAAGAGTCATATCTAAAGCCTAGTCAAAAAATTATTTCATAAGCTCAAATGTCAGCCTCGCTATTTAATGAATTGACCAGAAAAATCATGTTTGTACGCAGTTGCTAATTTCCATGTTTTGATGTTCTCAAATCTAGTTGGAAGTTAATTTTAACAACTAATTAATGCGTATAACACATTAAACACCCTTGAAAACGTGTTCAGACTTGAAAATTTCTATACTACAAAAAAGAAAAGAATAGTCTAAAACACACCGACTCGATTACGGTTACCATGATAATAAGAACATTACTGCCAACAGCCAAGTGATTTGCAGTATGTTCAACAGGTTGTAGTTTTGGGTCCAAGCAATTGAATTTATGGATCAATAAGGTCCAGGCAATTGAATCGAATATTGATATTAAATGATACAATTACCATGAAAAAAAATTGTACTGTTATTTCCGTTTAAAATCTAAAATAAAAAAATGAATTAAAGAATTAATTATGATGGGTGTTAGAAATGATGGTATTTAATAACTTAAAAGCTGTATCAATAAGATTAAAACATAAGCTATACGTATGTTCCCTCAAAACAACAAAAGTCCTTATACAGTGATCGTACCAGTATTTATATCTTATAAAAATTTCACTAGACAATTGATTATAAGTCATTGCTATGAATCAATGATTCATTATGTGTATAGGCAAACAATAAGATTTCAATACTTGTAAAAAATTGAAGTATCCTTCTGTTGTACCTAGTGGTCAATGGTTTATTTGATATATAAATAAATTATATTAATGTGCTGAAATAGTCCCTTAGACACATGTGGCCTTCTTCTTATAGGATAGACAGGAAGGTGGAATATCGAAAGAAGGGGTTAGAGTTAATGTTTTGTAAGTTTAGGTTACTATTTAAAACCACCCAAAAGTGTAGAAACCCCATAATAGGAAACTGCATTTGGTCAAACGGGAAATATGGATCAAAGTAACAAAAGATAAGGAGAGTATTGTGGATCTTCATTTTGTGGTCTTCAAAAATATTTTGAATGTCTCTTCATTGATATGATATCACAAGATTCACAACGAAACTCCAACTGACTCTCTAAAGGAAACCCACTTGATAAAATGCATGTTTACAAGAAAAATGGAAAAAAATATTTTACAAAACTGTTACCACACATAAAATTAGATTATGTTCTTACAAACCTATACAAAGTTGGCATACTTGAAAAAATTATATATGGTAATATACATGAGTGTTCTATATCAAGTATATAATTAAGATTTAATTTCAAAGTAGTAGGCAACAAGAAATTATAGGTTTCACTATATTGCTTGTTGAGCTATCCTGTGTACATGTTTTGCGAGTAGGGTTTAGCGTGGTCTGAGTTTATGCGCTGGGCCATGTGGCTCTCCAGTGTCCACAGTGGTTCTACACAGTTTATATTAAAGCTTAATTAAAGAGAAGATGTGGTCGACACATTTGTAATCAATACATAAGGTTTGTTAGGCAGCCAAGTTCTTGATTTAGGCGACCTTTATTAGTCGGTGAGGAATTTACAAGTCAGATCAATAGATCATATACTATATATATGGTTTGAAGCCCATACTTTTAAATCATCGTGAAATCATTTTAAAAAGAAACACATGAAAATCATGACGAAACGTCTATTTTCCTTAATCATAATATAAATCACATTTATTAGTAGGTTGAAAAATCACCACCGAACGTTCATATTCTTGTACATTAGCCTATAACAGATAAGAAGGCCATTTTTCCATTCCCAATAATTGGTTTATTGTTTATACGACGCATCTAACATATTGACTAATGACGCCCATGTTGAGTCGCTAGTCATCTCTCTTTAGATATAGCATCGTCATCTAAAATCAACGATTGACGTCAATTATTTTTCTTTTATGCATTACTGATCCATCTCAAAACGTCTCAAATTGACAAAACACTCCATATATAACGAGGTCTCAACTATTTTCAGAACATTAGTTGATTCCTCTTAATACATCAATCATTTATGTTAACGTTGATATCAGTCCTTTAAAATTGCAAAGACAATAAAAAAACTCCCCGTATCTCTCTCACCTCCCCGTATCTCTCTCAAGCCAACAAACAAAGTTTAATCTTCCACCGGCGTCCGGCGGCGCGTCCGAGCGCGTGCCGACGCCGGTGGCTCTTCTCCTCCCTTGCTTGTCTTCTCTTTGCCTCTGCGTCGCCTTCTTCCTCTCCTCCGGTTATGCGTGTGGCTCTGGCTTAGG